ACAATACCCCATAGATTTTCTATGGGGTTAAGGTCAGGAGAGTTTGCTGGCCAATTAAGAACAGGGATACCATGGTCCTTCAACCAGGTACTGGTAGCTTTGGCACTGTGTGCAGGTGCCAAGTCCTGTTGGAAAATGAAATCTGCATCTCCAAAAAGTTGGTCAGCTGCAGGAAGCATGAAGTGCTCTAAAACTTCCTGGTATGTGGCTGCGTTGACCCTGGACCTCAGAAAACACAATGGACCAACACCAGCAGATGACATGGCACCCCAAACCATCACTGACTGTGGAAACTTTACACTGGACTTCAAGCAACGTGGATGAAGTGCCTCTCTTCTTTTCCTCCAGACTCTGGGACCTTGATTTCCAAAGGAAATGCAAAATTTACTTTCATCAGAGAACATGACTTTGGACCACTCACCAGCAGTCCAGTCCTGTTTCTCTTTAGACGCTTCTGACGCTGTCTGTGGTTCAAGAGTGGCTTGACACAAGGAATGCGACAGCAGAAACCCATGTCTTTCATACGTCTGTGTGTGGTGGTTCTTGAAGCACTCACTCCAGCTGCAGTCCACTCTTTGTGAATCTCCCCCACATTTTTGAAGGGGTTTTGTTTCACAATCCTCTCCAGGGTGCGGTTATCTCTCTTGCTTGTACACTTTTTTCGACCACATCTTTTCCTTCCCTTCGCCTCTCTATTAATGTGCTTGGACACTGAGCTCTGTGAACAGCCAGCCTCTTTAGCGATGACCTTTTGTGTCTTGCCCTCCTTGTGCAAGGTGTCGATGGTCGTCTTTTGGACAACTGTCAAGTCAGCAGTCTTCCCCATGATTGTGTAGCCTATAGAACTAGACTGAAAGACCATTTAAAGGCTTTTGCAGGTGGTTTGAGTTAATTAGCTGATTAGAGTGTGGCACCAGGGGCCATCAATTTTGAACCTTTTCACAATATTCTAATTTTCTGATATGATGAATTTGAGATTTTCATTTGTTGTCATTTGTAATCATCAAAATTAAACAAAATAAACATCTGAAATATATGAGTTTGTATGTAATGTATGAATATAATATACAAGTTTCACTTTTTAAATGGAATTACTGAAATCAATCTACTTTTTCATGATATTCTAATTTTATGACCAGCACCTGTACAGGGCCTGCTGGTGGCGCTCTGTATCATAACAGCTGGACATGTGCAGACAGCTTATGTTAGTAAACACAGAAACATGACAGCAAAGTGGTGCATGTGGTTCACAGAGAGAGAGAGATAGAGCCACGACTAAACGGCTGCTGAATTTATGTAACCAGTAAGGACTCTTCAGCAAAAACAGACGTGTGTCAGCTGTCATCATGACACATGTTGTCCAAACTGTGGTGGCAGTAAGGAAAAAGGTAGGAAAAACTTCATATTGCTGTTCCTTCTCCATAGGAATCCTAAAAAGGTTCCTCACCAGTGCAAAGAAGCTAGAAGGAATCCAACAATTCTTTGTGGCGCACAGAGAAACTTTTTTTTTTTTTTTTTTTTTTGCATGAAAATGCATAACTGCATCTGTGTGACACATGCCAATGAACTCACCTTCAAAGGACTTGGATTTTATAATGAAGAGTTTCAGCTATTTGCTGGATTTGAGCATCTCGTGGTTGCCATACTTTTTAAAAATGTCTTACATCTGCATCTAATAATTCATTTCTCTAGATTCACACAGCTATCAATTTGACAAAGCCACACATTTAATAGGGGGGGTTGATTTAATTTCCACTTCATCTCAATCCACTTCTTCGCTATTGCCAAATGGATTTCTGTTAGCTTCTCAGCTTGATTTCGTCTCTAGGTTGGAGTTCATAAAGTTCCCTGATAAACAAATTTCAGGGTCCAGCGGAATCTTAACTTCATGGATGTTTGATCAATTTAACACATCCGTTAGTAAAACCCCTGCATTTTAGAATAATGCCAGGTAGCATGGAGGAACAAAGAGGGAATATATTAGAGTTTATGGGGTGTAATATACAGCTAAAGCAAAAAACTGAATTTTACCAAACTAAATCGAACATTTAGAGTAGAGAAGATTCCTCTCTGTACACATTTCTCCATAACTCCTAATTATAATTATTCTCATGTCACAAACGAGTTTTTACTGTTGACCCGATAAAAGGTAAAGGAACGGGAGCTACCAGCTAAATGTATTTGGACAGAACCATCATTTAAGAAAATATTCATACAAATAGATGAACAGAGGACAGCCGCATGCCAAACTGAGACAGACTCACTGAGGTGTGCCTCTAATTTAAAACAATAATGCAACTAAAAGCCAACTAGAGAAAAATATCCATATGAAGCTTTTCAAACCAAATCTGCTCTTACAGGAGCAGTTATGTATTCACTCCAACTTTTCCTTCTCAAAGGAGACACGATGAAAATATATATTGTTCCATTTTGAAGACATCTTAGATGATTCTCAAGTAATGGCTATCCTTGCAGCCACTCTAAGAATGTGAGGCAAGTATTTTTCCTTGCATGATGCACCTTCCTTCAAACCATCCAGTGATAGAGCAGTTTGAGTGGAATGTCTATCAAAATACATTGAAGTGATTTTCCTCCACTCTGACAAAAGATCCTCACAAAAATAAAGAAAGAGGGAGGTTTCTTTTGGATTGGCGTGATGAAGATTCAAACGAGACTCTTCAGTCAAAACTCTCTCCAAAAAACTAATTTTCCTCTGGGATTATTAAAGTATGTCTGATTCTGGAAAAGGCACAAAATACATGCAGGATAGTGGTACTTGATGAGCAGAACTAGGAACCAATGCACGACCTAACTTCAAACCTCTCAAACTCTAAACAATGAAATATTTACACTGATTAAATCTGGTAAAACCTGAGATTCTTTAAAAAGATGTGAATTGAACAGTTTTCTGCTTCAGAAAACTGAAATCACACAGGAACAATATAACAATAAAACATGTATTTGCAGTTTTTTTTAAATTCTATTTTAACAAGACTTTTAAAGTGCCAACACTGAGTCAAGAAAATGTCCTCTAAAGTCCCTACAAATATATACTCTAAAACATGAGGTTACCTTGACAATGCAACAAGTCTGTTTGAGACACCCTGCCAAGATTTACATTTCACCTGCAGCCCAGATAAACATTTCTTGTAAAAAGCCTTCTGCTGGCCAGAGCCCATTCCATTCCAACTAAAGTGTTGACATGAGTATTTCCAGACAGTGCAAACACTGGCTCGAATTGCTGTCGTGCATAAATACCCCTCAAAGACCACCTTCTCCTCTTCAGCGACAGCCTGCTGCAGTGCGGCTGGATTCCAACTCAGACTAAAATCAGTCAGTCTGCAGGGAACTGCAGCTACAGCAATGGAGCATCTGGCAATTCATTAATAAACATACACTTAAAACCAAGTGATGTGTAAATCAGATATTTATAGGTTAACGTCTACAGTAAGGGGCCGTTAACAGTTCATTGGAAAACAATAAAAATGCTGCTGCAGCAACAGCAACACTAAAAGTATAACAATAAAAACCTCCAGTGATTGGAGTCTGCACTTTAGTCCACCAAGCAAAATATTATAATGAAAAATAGGGCTGGAAACAATTATCTTTTTGCTCATCAATTAATCCAGTGATTCATTTTTCAAATTAAAAGATTAATAATCAATTAGCAAAAGGTGCCTTAAAGAAGATCTTACATAGATTTATATCTAAAACTATGCCACTCAATGTATTCTGGATTGAGCTTATTCATGGTAAAATACTGGTAAAATATAAATTACTGCTCTGAGTCAGTTTTTCTCTCAGTCAGTGGCATGGGTTAGAGTCTGTATACCTCCAGTTAAAAATCTATCATTTACTAAAATTGTTGATTATTTAAATAATTGGTTGATCTGATTAAGTGTTTCAGCACTAATCCAAAGTATGTAATCCTCTTTAGCTGTGTCTGCCTACTGTAAAAGAACAAGTAATACAATTTTAGCACTAAAAAGTAAATCTGAACTTAAATTCTGCCTGACAAAGACAAACCGTAAAATACCGTAAAACGTTGGTTCTTCAAAGGGTTGACTCAGGGAGGGAGAATGCCACACCTGACAGTTTTGTTTTGTATGAAAATATAGAAAATCATCTGGTAAATCTAATATGTTTTCCACTTCACATTGATACACTCGTTGGTGTAGATCTTGGACATGAAACCAACGTTGGAATGTGACAAAAACATTAAACAAGTTCAAGGTGTTTAAATATTTTAGCGAGGCACGTGTTTCCAAAGATCAACCATGCAGAGTTTCATGTTTGGATATGAGGAACAGGGACTTCAGGAGGTATTTATGAGGCCACAGTAGACAGATTATGCAAAGAAGAAATCTGAGAAGCTTAAATCTTCATCAACAACTTAAAAAGATGGCTGCTTGAATGAGTCCAGGTATAGGTAGCATTTAACTAAAGCCTAACAACTAACTATTGTTGCCGTTTTTCATTTGGTTAATGCACTGTTATTAAAACCCCTTAAAGGGAGGGGGGGCATATACAGATAGGGAAAGACACACAAGTAAGGACTATCACAATGAAATTACATTATAGTTTAGGTTATGTCCCTGATTCAGAAGTAGAGGAAAATCTGAAACTTTATATAAACAAATATTAACAGTGTTAATTTCAATGTTTTAACTTTTACATGAACAAACGGATTTTCCATTAGCCACTGTGTTTGCAGAAGGTTTGAGCTTAAGATGTTTGAGCTCCCCTCCAAGCAGGACAGATTGTAAATCAAACTGCAGTCTGAATATAAATTCAGTCAGTACTGCAGTCTAAAAGAACCTGAGTTGGTACAACTTTGCAGGGCACAGACAGAAGAGGAATTACAAACACAACCTGCATCACAACCTTTAATTAAATTGAGATGGTGAGTTCTAAGCCTATTGATGTATATCGTGTTTTACTGCAGAATGTGTAGCATCATTTTAATGCTTGAATCGTGTTTCCTGAAAGCAGGTGCTTACCTCGTCCCATTCTGAGGTGAAGGAGGGAGATTTCTCAAGCCTCTTCTTGCCGGTGCTACAGTTGGAAACAGACTCGCTCCGGTTCCCCAGTCCCCCTTCCTCCTCGCCAGGAGGCGATACGAGCAAGTCAGAGTCGGATTTGGAGAGGCTCCGTGCGAGTTTCAGGTCACCAGGAGGGCGCATCCTAATGACAGATCCTGCCCCCGCGGCAGAGTCTCTGGGCTCCTTGTTCACAGTGGCATAAATTGCTTTTGGATCGCAGTCTGTCAGGATTGCGGCCATGCTGGGTCGGCTAGGAGAACCGGAAGCAGCTGGTGGCTTTTCTCCTGCTTTGTTCGATTTCCTCGTTTCTGGTTGGCCCTGGTTGGGTGGCAAAACACCTGGAAGTCTGAAGGCGTCGTCGTGGCTGTCGATGACGGGAGAGGAACCGTGCAAAAGGCCAGTAAACTGCTCTGGGACACCTGCTCCCTGATCCTGGTTGCCCTGCAAGTTATCTGAACAGAAGGAAAAAGACAAATGGTCTATGAAAGAGCAGCACCTTGAAAGGGAAGGACAGTGGACTTCCATCCGAAGAGCAGATTCAGAGAGGAAGGCTAATAAGACACCACCCACACAAACCCCTAAACAGATCTGCAATTGTTTCCTACCAGGAGTGACGGAGGGAAGAGGAGGGAGAGAGAAGAGACAGAGCAAGGAAAGGGCGTTTGTTGGCAGAAGAAATGAGTGAATTCCACAGCCAGCTTGCAGCCGCCTGACGGCAATCACAGGCTGCCTGTGTTCTGTAAGAGAGAGTTAAGGCAAGTCGTTCCAGTGAGCTGCTTCCCTTCAACTGAGACGATAGGTCAGCCTTTCCCAGCCAGGAATCTCTCCAAGCACTAAATAATCTCTTGTGCAACCTTAAAAACATCTAATGCAAAACCGGAATAAAGAAGTGGCAGTCCTCAAAGAAAAAACAAATTCTAAATGAGATTGAAGGTGAGGGCTACTAAAACAATTAGGTCTTTCTCTCCCTCCCTCTCCCAAAGGAATTACTGCTATGTAAGCTCCTTTTCTACAATCGAATCTACCGTAACTTAACTGTGCCCACTTTAAAAGAAAGCTAACCCCGAGAGAATAAAATCCGCCGGTCTGCAGCCGGTTTTTTGGTTGTCTTACTCTCCAGTGTAGCGCTGCATGTCGTCTGCTGAGTTTACCAGCCGCCCTCTGCGTTTTCCAGCTTCTAATTCTAGATCCTAAGGGTGGCTCAGGAATGGAAATTTGAATCACCCTATCCTCTAGCAGACAGACTCCTGATAATTAGTGCAATGACACATGCTGTGGGAGTGTGCATGCGTGTGGGCTCTTCTGGGGTGAAAGTATTGGGGTGTTTGGTGACAGCAGATCTAGGGCAGCAGAGCCACAGGAGAGCAACAACTCGGAGCAAACTCTGTCCTTCAGTCCTGTGCAATTAGCCTTTTAACATGCAACAATAGTAAGCTCAGACAATAACACCCAGGTTCTAACTGTGCTCACCAATGTTCATCTGTCAGGGAACATTTGCAGTGTGGGGGTTAACCAAACAACGCCCTGACGCAAAGAGAAACAGTTTACAGGCGAGTTTTGCACGTGACCATTATAAGCAGTAAGCCAGTGCTCTGTATACATGTTGAGATCACGACCAAACACCCACGCTCTCCTTGGCAGCTGGAGAAGCGTGAACGCCCAATGAGCACATCAGTGCGAATCCAACAGCCCCAGATTGTGTTAACCCCTGGCAGGGAGATAAACACGTGAACAATCAGATGGTAATGGAGGGTTTAGCACAGGGGTGAGGTCACCACAGAGGTGGAACATGCGTTTTACTTGGCAATGTCATATCCCTAAATATCCGACTAATGATGTCATGGTTGGAGGCAGCACTGGCCGTCACTCCTCCATCTCTGTCGTTCCAAAGTCAATCCATGGAAAAGTCTGCTCTTTTTTAGTTTAGGTTTAAAGACATTCATATATTTGTGAAAATCACTTCGGCACATTTAGAGGTTTCTATTAAAGCTAGTCTGCTTGTAATTCTTGCAAGAACAAAGTTGCCTTTTTGATGGTATTACATTCTTGAACTTGCTCAGATTTTTAAAATCTTTTTACTAAAACGCTAAGAGTATTAAAGTGAGTTTTTATGTAATGCACCAAGACAAAAGTACCCCTAAATAAATTCAGTGCAACTTGTTGCCTTCTTTCAGGTCATAAAAAGGAAGACATAAAAAGTTGTTCACAAGCTATGGAGGCGACACAGAAAGATGTCAGGGAGAGAAGAATATCCCCATTATGGAGTCTGGAGGTGAAGGCATCATGCTATTGGGATGTTTTTCACCACCTAAGATAAATAAGCAGCTCAGAGGTGACAGCATTAAATTCAGAGCAATGCTGGGCTCAATCTGAAAACCTCAGATTAGTAAGGACACTTAGGCCACAGTGGAAATGTGTCCTTGGTCACCATAATAAGTGCTACCTGAATAGTGCTGGCAGTTAGGAAGGAGCTAGGAACATGAAGTAGGATGCTTCCTAGCGCCAGTACAGTTAGCATACGGACCCCCTGATGTTCGAAGCTACAGCTAACTGCCCACTAGGATATGCACTTAAAATTGTATCATTATATTGGGTGATATTATCATAATAATGATAAAAGATTAAAAAAAAAAACATTACTTCTTCGCAGTCTTTCTCAGGTACCTCTATGGCTGTGACTGCTTACAACAGCCATCATAGCTAGCAATCACAAACAAGTCTCTTGAAGATAATACACATTGAAATTTTGTGGTTACGAGATGACTGAGCATCCCATAGTAACCGCATTTAATCATAGTCTTTATCATTGCCTCATTGGAAAAGAATGATAGAGAAAGTTCCAACAATTCATCACGTTTAGATGATAAATCAAATTCTTATAATGACTAGCAACTTATCACTATAACGATGAACATTGTGATAAATGCCCTCCCTACTGCCCACAATCCTTCACATGACTGGACGTATAGGCCCAGTCCACCTCAGGGAAGTGGACAAAAATTCATTATTTAGTGACACGTACTCTGTGTGACACATGCAGATGTACACACTTTGTTATGTTTTGGGCGAGCTTCAAGTGTTTCCTCTTTACCCCTGAAAATAGCGGCTGAACCCCTGTTTTTGCAAACATGGGTCGACTAACTAACAATCGGCATTTAGCTCCCTTCCCACTGGGAAAAAAAGCTGGGTCTAACCCCTAGCTGGCAGGCTACATGGTCTGTCCCCCCCCCCCGCTGTGTGGTCTCTGTACCCCCACAGCGGGTGTCTGGTGACACCATCACACTCGGTTAGCTTTAATGCCATCACCAGCCCGACAGAAATCAGGAAAGTAAACAACGGAGAGCAACATGTAAGGAAACCAGGACGTAGTAAGTGTGCTTTATTGTATCTGTCCGAATCCCTGCTGCACCATGTTTATCTAATGTAAACAGAGTTGTTTCAGCTTGTTAGACCAGACGTGGCTGGCGCCGTGTGTTGATGTCTGTACGTTGCGTTCAATGGTGTCACGTAATTCAGCGGGTCGACCCGGCTCTGTGTTACTACAGTGCGCCAATCAGAGCCGAGGCAATTTGCTTGCCGAGTCGTTTGACACGGGAAGACAATGCCACTAAATGCCGAACATTCCCGGTTTTAAACAGGGTTCTCGGCCAGTGGCAAATGGGTACAAGACTGAAGTCTGTCTGGATTCAGCACAGCAGACTGGAGTTCCTTACCTACCCTGGATAATGTTCTCACTGTTGAAGCCTGTGAAAGGTGAAGCGATAGGAGCTAGGAGCAACAATTTTAAGGAGAAAATTTATAGCAAAGTAAAGACTTTTCCAAGGTTTTGTGTTTGTATGTGTGGCAGTGGATATCAGCTCGTCATCCTCATTGTCCCCAACAGCAGGGAATGTCAAGATCTGATCAAGAATTACGTTTCATATTGGCAGCAAAAGGAGCTTTGCCCATTTGCCAAAGAATGCCAGTCAGCTCGCTCCCAACAGGGAAAATCCACTCTGCTGACTGAGAATGCCAATTGTGCATTCCGTCAGCCAGCTAAATGCAAGCCAACCCATCTCAGATGCACAGAACTCAACTGCATCTCTCCAGTTTCATTGACATGCTTGGCTCCTGACTTTCAGGTCCAGCAGGACTGAGGATGTTGTAGCTCACTTGATAAGTACAGTAAGAGGACTTACCTCCCGGTGCATTTGGAGCCATCCATGCAGGGGGCAGCAGACTGTCTTTTGTTTTACTTGGGGGTCTGAGGTCATTGGGGGGCACACAGGATTTGCGCTAAAAGAAGAAACTAAAATTTAGTCACAGCTTCTTACTTTCACATTCCTGTAGGGTTGGCAATCACATTAGGTGTAACTGACTAATCCAGACCCTGTGCTATCATTAGTAGTGGGAAGCAAGTGGGTGTGAAGGTGGATGGCTCTACAAGCAACATTTTTACAAAAAAAAAAAAAAATACATGTAAAAAGCACATTTGTCACTTTTAAAGCTGCTTAGGAGAGAAAATATCTATTTTCCCAATTAACCAACTGATTCATTGTCAAGATCGAGAAAGTATATCAAAAAATGAAATACTCTCAGTCTATTTAGATTGTTTGTAGAATTAACAAAATCTAAGACTGTTTATACACATATTTGCACATTTTGGATGAAAGACAAGAAAGTTGAGAACAGAAGAATAATGTTAGAAAAATCTTTACCTGAGGTAGGACACTGTTGGAAGACTGTGTAGTGGCATTCTCTTCTGAGAACACAGGAGACAAAGGAGTTAGTAGAGGGCAGGAGTGTCTAGATCTAATCTACATTACAGAGAATCTATTAATGGTTCTGACTGTCAGCAGAAACCTTCTGCACAGAATAACAGAAGTGATTTATAATGAAATCATGTTTTATGCACAGTGACATTATCTGAATGTCAGTTTGCTTTGAGATTTATCGACCGGCCAGCTCAACAGAAGCAAGTGCAGACATGATGAAAGGGTTCTAAAGCAGGTAGAAAAATGTCTCATTTAAACTTTCATCTTAAATAAAGTGCTTCATTTTTTAAACACTGATCTATCATTACAGAGGAAACACGATTATACTCAAACCCATCAAGCGAAGGACGCCATGAAAAAGGATCGATGCTGGTGAAGCCAGCTGACATTAACAGTTACTGATAATGAGGCCTTCTTGATTTATATCTGTTTAATACAGATCCAAAATGCACATCGGACTGGTTCCAAGTTGTAGAGCTACTGATCTCAATAAAAGTGCATGCAGGTTCATGCAGTTGCAAGGGATCTTATTTAAAGGCCTGGATAAACAAATTTCTCAAATGTGCCAAAAAAAGCGATGCACCAACTTACTACTTAAAACATAAACCAACAAACTAATGGGGGAAAGAACACTTAATCTCTCAATCTTCCTCCCTTAGGGTTAAACTAAAAGGCCACAATTACCTTTATTGGGCTGGTAGTCCAGACTGGGCGGTGGGACTTTGGTCTCTGCAGTCAACAACAACTCGTACGTGTGATCCTCTGCTTCCTCTGCTAGCTCTCTCCTTTCATTTATACTGCTACCTGTGTAATGCACCTACAGAGAAAAAAGAAAGAAAAAGAAAACAGAACTCTTGAGGAGGTGTGAGGCTTTGTTTTTTTAATAAATCCTATGATGAAGAAAATAAAATTTGGACCTTTCAGACAATATAATACTTAAAACCATATCAATTAAGGTAAAGTTATGTAGTTATGTAGTGAGTTCCAAAAGCTAACCCAATATTAATATTAACACATTTTCAATTAGATTCAGTTTATTTGTTTCCCATTTCTCTAGATGTTGTACTTTGTGTCCCCCAAGGATCAATATTGGAGTCAGATCTATTTATGATGCATCATAAATAATTCTTAACCTAAAAGTTTGCTCTGCATCCTGATGATGCCAGCCTTTTCTTTCTTGGACAATATTAAACGGGTGAATAAGGATAAGGGACATGAATGATAGAAACTGAAAACTTTGTTGAAATTCGGGGTGAGTATTGGCACGGGTGTTGCAATATGAAACGTGTAACGATACAATATTGTCAAGATATTGCAATAACACTATATATAGCAGCTATCAAAATTAAATGTATAGATAACAAAACAAGTGATTTAAATGTTCGTCAGAAGATTATGATCATGTACTTATTTTGATAATAATGTTGTTTGAGGTTTGAGTTAGTTCACATCTGCCTCTGTGACTTCCTTAACTACAGATATGGTGCTGCACCGCACAGCTAACGGGCTCCACAGCTCTATCTGCCAGAGTGGGTGTGCAGAGATAGCCCATTTCCCTAATTTTTTCAGGCAAAATTTTTTTAAATCTAGGAACTGAAAAATTGATACTATATTGGGCAGCCTAAAATCACCATATATTGCTGAAACTATTTTTTCTACACACCCCTAGTTGAAATAGAAATCACTTGGGTAACAGAAAAAGTCAGCATTCAAATACAGCTGGAAAGAGAAACACGATCAATTTAGAGGAATTGGTTTTAAAAATGTTTGGGTTATAGTATGCAACAAGCACAAGTGAAAGCCCCAAATCCATCATGAACAAACAGGTATTGCAAAGATCACACCAGTTTTGAATCGAGAGGGTACTAGAATGTAATTCAGTCCAATCTATGCTAATTTGTTCATTTTCAAATTACTGCATTATGCCAGCTGCTACATGTGCTTTTATCATTCATTCTGTTAATGCTTATTCTCTGTTAATAAGAGAAACATTGTGTTGTTTTTTGTTACATAAGACAGGGCTGTCCTTTAGAAGCAATGAGATTTATAAAGTGTACAAGTAATGACTACTGCTTTTCATTATGACTATACTCAAAGCAAATAGTATTATTATTACCGTAAGTAAAGGTGGGAACATGCATTACATGTATAACATGCTAGAACTGTTAGTAATCTGTGTTAAGTTGTTAAACTGCATTTGCACTGTTCGCCTTGTGAACTCACCTCTGAGCTTCCCTCTTCCTCATGACTTGCGACAGGATGCGATGGGACAATACGGTCTTTCTGTAAAGCAATCAATCATTTTGGAACATTTAGAAAATGTTTTTTTATTATTATTATTATTGCTAAAAATATACAGTTAACCGCTAAAGATAATTTAGAGAGGTATATCTTCAGGGTTTTCTTAATACTGGTTACATGCCGAGTGGAGAACTAGCTCCCTCTAGTGGTTTTTTGGTGTTTTTCACCTTTATAAACCTGCATGTATTGATCTATCCTGTTAGTGTGAGAATGCAAAATGTTGCCAACCTTGCCAACTTCGCTGTCGGGCCGTCCTGAGTCCCTGTCGGAGGACTTCCCACTGGTGAGGCTGTCTAAAGAATGGCAAGAAGTGGCTTCAAACAGAGCTTCATAGGGGCTCTCCTCCTCTGGGTCGGGGGCCAGCCCCGATATGAGGACCGTCACTTTGTCCTGGTTACCTATCAACCAGGTTAGAATCAAATTAAGCATTGCTAAAATGAAAGCGCCATGTTTTCTCTAATCATGTATGTAAATCTCACCCTTCTTCCTCGGACTGGAGCTCTCCTGGGGTGGAGGAACGGGCGGAGGAGGAAGGTCGATGTCGGGGGGTTTTCCAGTCTTGTGCCCTGTAACGAAACAGAAGATTGTATCGCAGCAAAAATCAAAAGGTACTTTTCTGCAGTTCTCTGTAGTCAATATGGACTTTACCAAGGATGAGGGCAGCTATTTCTCTGCTTTTCTGGGAGGGCATGTCTTTGACAGTGTCCAGCGCTGTCAAACCCTTTTGGTCAACAATGTTCACATCAATACCTGTAAAAATCATAGCACAGACTATAGTTGGGTTCCTTGGGTACTGCACCTCACAAAAGCACCATTACTCTTTCACCTTTGACAGATTACAATTAAAAACTATCATGTAAATATGTAGTCTTTTTTGGTCAATATTAAACTAGCAAAATAGGCCGATTATTGAGAAGAGAAATGAAAAGTAAACATAATTTTTTTACATTTTCAGCAAATATCATTTGGAAGATGTAGCATGTATATGTAATCAGTTCTCTTTGCAGAACCGCCTTATACTTTAATGGACACTCCCTACCAGGTTTGCACAACTAGAAAGAAAAAATAAACTATTCTTCTTTATAAGGTAGCTCACTCTCAGACTGAAAAACCATCAGCATTCATTTTCAATTTAAAAATTTTTTTTCACAAGGATTAAAGTCTGCTTTCTTGTTTGTTTGTTTTTTTTAATCGGGATTGCTCTGTATTTAGCTCCACTTTTCTTACATTTACTTCCAAATAGCTTTTCAGGCCAAGCAACAGCAAAATGTTCCACTCATGTGCACATTTATAGTGTTTTGAATTTAAACCAGAAAGTATCATTTTGTTTCCTATGGCAACGCACTTTTAGTTTTACAGTTGTGTCATAACTATTTAAGGTCATTAATGTTTTTTAACAAACCTCAGAGGTATTTACAAAATGTCTTGTTACTATACTGAGCTTAAACACACAGCTTGACACTTTTTACTAATTATTACTAATTGATCTGATTTCTGTTGCACAATATTTACCATTTCAGAGTAAAAGGTGTTGAAACCACATTTCAGATTTTTATTTTTAAGGTGTGTTTTTCTTGCACTTTGAAAATAAACTATAAAGCTAATTTAACATTATTTTTAAAACAAGTACATAAGTAATTTTGAAAAGCACTGCGATTTCCTCCATGGACTGATTATGAGCACCAACCTGCACTGAGTAGCTTTTGTACCACATCTGTCTTCCCAAACAGGGCAGCTTCATGGAGGGCGCTGCCTTTCTCTGTCTGTGGGGGGGGAAAAAACAACAGCTCATAAATGGCAGAATAAAAAAATCTAAACAAAGAGAACAAAAACATTTTTATAAAAGCTAAAATATAATAAATAAATATTTAGTTTTTATCCTTTTCCATTTTTCAGTTGAGTCTGATTACAGCGGAGTTGTGTGAGAAAGTGTTCTGCAGGAACCCGATTTTAGCATCACCCAAACAGTTTGCTGTTTTAAAGACAACCATGTGTTTGGGAGGTAAAGTGGATAATTTTCCAGTTCACAGGGTTGTGCTAATTGAAACCTGCAGGATGCATGAGCCTAAAGGATTCTGAATAGACCCCACATGCTTGATTTTAAAAAGGAAAGGAGGGCAAAATGAGGGGGAAGTCAGTTAAGACAGATGGGAATCACAGTGTGATCTGGGGGACTGAGCCTAAGGCTCCACCAGAGGGAGGAGGATCGCAACAGCCTTGACAGCCCAGCTGATCATCAGCAAAGTTTTATTTTTTTAAAATAAACATTTGAAAAACTTTTAAGTTTCCCCACAGGACTAATGTGTGCAGCACACACCTCATAGTTGATGTCCATGCCAGCGTCCAGCAGCACTTCCACCACAGACAGGTGTCCGTTCCGGGAAGCCAGGTGCAGAGGTGTGTGTTTCTTGGTGTTGCAGCAGAGCAGATTAGGATGTGCGCTGAGCAACAGCTTGACCACCTCCAACCGACCATACAGTGCAGCCAGATCCAGCGGCGTCTCGAACTTGTTGTTTCTCATGGTGGGGTCGGTCAGTTCCTCTAGCAGCAGGCGCACCACCTGGGTGTGACCATACTGGGCGGCACAGTGCAGCGGCGTCTCGTTGTCATTGTTCTGTTGGGAGGTCAAAAAGAAGGATGAGTCTCACAGAAAGGGTAACACGTACACCGGAACCAAATAGATGCAAAGCCCTCCACATCAGCAGAATAGAAGATTGTTGAATAGAAAGTAAAAACCATAAAGCCCAAAGAAAAACCCCGAGATGCATCTCTGGCAAAGTAGAGGGAAGCTTGGCTAAGAAAACGTGTGCACTGATGAAGAAAGGTAATGTGAATCCCTGCCAGGGTCTGTAAGGTGCTCCTACAGGGGCTAGGACAAACAGGTTTGTTTAAATAAGACCAGAAAAAGCAAAAAATCAAACAGCTCAATCATCACTAAAAATCAGTTAAACGTTTTATAATTTTAAGAATGTTAAAGCCAACAAATCCAACATCACTGAGAAGCATTGCAAAGAACAGGCACTAGCAGACTTTTGCATCTGACAAGTATCTAATAACAGATAATTTTATTTGCAGAAAAGATGTAAAAAAAACTGTCTTAGTGAAGTCACGTCATTTAATGCTATGTTTTGATGTTGGTTCTATTATTGTGCTTACAGTATCACAGTGAAAGTATTTTATGGACTACAAAGCACACCTCACTATAATCTGTGCCCACTAAATTTTTTGAAAAAAACTGGAAATGTACATATGTGAGACACTGAGATCTAGTGAACTAGATGGTTCAGCAGCTTTAATGCAAGCCTCGTAGTTCAAAGCGTGGGAAAAAATAATGGCTTGTAGTCCAGGAATTACGGTTATCAAAGTTATCTTAGAATCTAATCCCAATGTGACACAAAGTGATAAAAATAACCATCTCATACATATCAAATGAGCTGTATGCCTTAATACAGGAAATAATATGCTATTTTGCAATAGGATTGTGACAAAACTGTAAAACCAACAGAATATAATTATTGTCCAACTACGGTGCAAAAAACAAACACTCAAAGAGGCAGGTGTTGTGGTGTGTCTAAACTGGTCAAAAATGTAACAAATTTATATATGAATATGAAATATCATAACATTGCATAAAAGAAAACAATAAGCTGATATGACCTACTTTAAATACACATATAGAAAATGGTTTGGTTCCTGTTATATGATGAAGACAGGAAGGAATCTAAGTATATGGCAAGAGATCAGAACATACAAATGATTGTAGCACTTTTTCTGATTATTCTTGCTATGAAAGTTTAGATTTTTTTTTGTATGCATTACCCCAGTTAGCCCATTTATTGGCATAATTCAGAGATCATAGACTCCTATTGACTACTATTACAGCTCTCCCTAAATTGTTTTCCTAAGAGCAATAAAAGCCTCAGAAGTGAGATGGTCAGGTAGGATAATGTGCCACTGAAACCACTTCAGTTTTATTTTTCTTGAAAAGCCAATAGGAGAACAATTTCTGGCTATTTGAAGGTTCAGAATAGTTTTAACTTATAAACACCCAGTTTTTAATCAAATGTACAGTGCACTCTACAAAGACTCCCTTGGCTTATGAAAGCAAAACAGGTCCACGGCATTAAGGACCTGCCACTGTACTAAATCCAAACTCATTTTTCTCATATCTGCTAAGTATTCTGGTTTATGCCACTGTGATATTTGTTACAGGAAAGATAACAGTCTGGCTTCACCAAAGCACATGGCCCCAGTTTAAGTCTCAGTCTTTTAGCAGAGTCCACCTATTAATATTTTCAGTGGTGTAACACAAAATTATTTATTTTTGTCATGTCTCCTGAACAAGTAGTTGGCATGTAGGCATATTATCAGGTTAGTTATAGAAACTTTCTATGTCCAAGTGGACATTTTGGCTATAATTCTCCAACAGTAACCTATGAACATGTATTTTTCCTCCCTTACAATCCGTCTGTGATTCAACAAGATACCTCTGTTTAATGCTCCAGGAAAACCCTGTTTCATATTAATGCTTCAGAAAAACAAACAAAAAGAAAAATGATCACAGATTACACAGACAGAAGTTCCTAAAACTCTGATAGACTTTCAAAGGTAAAGCAAAAATAATAATAATAAAAAAAAACATTCAATAACAGCATTATAAAGTGGTTGTAAAGACAAAAAAAAAAAAACTGTGCCAACTGCAATCTAATAAAAACTATTGTTTCTTCATACGAGTCTATCCTTCACCTCTTTCATGGATTTTTTTCCCCATTTTTCTGCATTTAAGTCACTGCAACAACAAAAATACTTAAGGCTTTTTACTCATCTTTACCAAGGTAGCCATTAAATAGGACCAGTATTGTACGTCTACACAAGCACTGCTCAGGGGATTTTCTTTTCTCTTTATTATTAATTGATTCTATAAAACCAAAACAAAGAATTTAGCAGAAGCCAAAAGATTTTTTACAGCACTACTACATCATCACTCAGGTTTAATCAGAATTCTATTTCAAGAAAATAATTTCAAAAGGGAAAGCCAAACAGTCTATTAAGGATCAGAAACCAGTCCAAAATCACCAAATATAAAGTCTGCATATATGATACTTATTGCGTTTTCTGCAGAAAGTAACCTTAGTAATTCTGTGCATTACATAATGTCAATGATTCATTGGATGTGAGAGTAAACAGCCAGAGGACTCCTCCTTAATAACAAACACAGAAAGATGCGTGTCCTACATACCAGCAGAAGTTCAATTTGACCAAAGGTAACAAAAAGTCATTTTAATTAATCTAAAGAGTCAACAGGCATGTGGATTAAAATCCAATTAAAAGCAGTAATTACAACATAAACTCCATAAGTGATGTAAATTGGATCTAACGACTCACATATTGCAGGAAGATCAATGCTTATTAAGAGAGCCTTAAGAAGAGCAGCCAGCAGGGGGCAGCACAATTCAAAGGATGTTTCCGAGAGTCAGAGCAAAGATGGACAGAAGGGAATCAGAGTTCTTGCTTTTCTATTAGTTTAACCCTTAAAAAGTATAAAAAGTAAACTGAATCTATCTGTCCTGTCATCCAGAGCTGTGAAATATGTTTCCTGACAAACTAAAAATGAGATCTCTAGAACCTTTGCATCTCGATCTGTTGTCAACAGTTGGGCGTGGCTGAGAATTCTTGCTATTGTGGATCCACATGCCAAGAGAGGCCGTCATTCCAGACAAACAGATCAACCTACAAAGGCCTGACAGCTGGTGTGAGAAATCCCCACATGGGTATGAACTATGCCAGTTTGGGTGAGTCTCAGAGGAGCGCGCCAGCTGTGCCACTGTAAAAGGGCCGCAGAGGAGAGAGCTGACAGGGTGGGTCTTACAGGACAGGTGGCTTTAACTCATTCAATGGTACTTTGACAAAAGCCTGCTGCCAGATAAGATCTGCAGGTATTTCCCAATAAAGACAAATTGAAAGAAAGAGTATTGTTACGACAAAGCAGGTCACCGTTTGAACTAAAGGTGAAGAGAGAGAAATGAAGCAACACCTGCCCTTTAAACCTTTAAAGGAGAGAGAAAAGGGAGAGTCCAGGTTTTTATTGCCTGGATTTGAAATCTGAAAATGAATCAAATGGAGAAAAGACTAAAACTATTTTTCATCCGTGACACACACACTGAGCATTTGTCAAGGCCTTTTGAAGAGATTTACTCTGAGCTTCTAGATGCTTTGATTACATCAGCATGAATCACTTCCTCCAATATGAACATCTTCTGCCTGAGTAGTAATTCAAGTCAATCTAGCATGGAAAGCTTTTTTAGGTTTGTTTTTGTTTTGTTTTGTTGTTTCTTCATGGTTGCAGTGTTCATAAGAAAGGGGTTAAAGAAAGACAAAATGTTGAGTTTAATCCAGTACAGACATGTTTAGCCTTTAGGGATTCATCCAAGAATTACAATTCCTTACTGAATCGTACAGTAGAAGCTCCAAAACTACGCTAAGTGAACTCACAACATGACCTCAGAGCTTCGGATCACTTCAACACCACGTGTCTCCCTGCCAAAGCGATAGTCAGGGCAGCTAGCAATGTGTCGGCCAGCAGCTGATCGAATTAAACATGGCTGGCTGATCGTGTGACTCACTGATGGGAGACATGCAACACCGAGCACAGCCTCCTTTGATGAAAGAGACATTTCAGACATTATTCACACAAAGGCTTTTTTTTTTTCTCCTGCAGGGCTGAGGTACCAAAACACCTGTGATGCTCGAGTTTGAACATTTTGCCTCTGAAAATGTATTTGATCAGGGCGAAAAAAAATATCAGTCTGCTAATCCCATTTTGTCAGTGATTCAGTTTAGAAGAGCATCCATTTAAATGTGACACATGTGTCTTTATTTACATTTACAACACTGCACTTTGGTGCAAGAACAGCGGTAAATCATGATAGTATTTATTGCTTAAATATGATCATGATTTCACATTTCCTGTAAATGAATCAATGAATGAAAAAACCCTAAAATGAACTTGCATGAAAGCAATCATGAAATTTAGTTAAAGATAATACACCAGGTCTCTTATTTAGACAGCAAAATGATCCACAAATAGTCATGCGACGGTAAAAACAGGCAGTCAGAATCAGACGTTTTGCAACAGAAGTTTGTTTACAACAGGTTACGCAAGTTTTTTTTTTTTTTTTAACAACCTTTCCACTAATAAGGTTCAACAGTACAGCTAAGATGTACCAGCAGCAAAGTGAAAGCTGAATGAAATGATGGGGATTCATAAAAGAGGAAAAATATTAAATAAGAATAAGAAGTAGTGAATATTTGTAAAAAAAAAAAAAGTCACCTGAAACTGATCACTGATCTATTTCACTTTCAGTAAAACACAGAGGGATTCAGAGGCCTCCCGCCTTTTCACCTCCATGCAATCATAAACCATGTGAGCTATCAAATTATCATGCTCTAAGAAGACTGAGATCCAAAGGCCATTTAACAAAGTGGCACCTTTGACAGCTTTGCTGGGAAAGCCATTGCAGTTATACGGCACAGCTAAGGCATTCTGGACCCTACAGGATCTTTATGAAAATCATCTTCATGCTGCCGCAAGTAGAAAATATGATTTAGACTTTA